GTTGTTTAGATATCAGTGGAACAGTCATGGAACCAACTAAAAAATAGCTAATTATCATGCAAATTATGTAATTAATATGCACGGATTTTTACCAAAAACTAATCAAATCTTGCGCATATGTTCAGAGCATCTAAGTACCAAGTTTCATCAAAATCCAATGAGTGGTTCTTTAGATATCAGTAGAACAGTCATAGAACAGCTAAAAATTAGCTAATTATCATGCAAATTAGGTAATTAACGAGCATGGATTTTTACCAAAACCTAATCAAATCTGCGCATTGGCCCAGAGCATCTATGCACCAAGTTTCATCAAAAACTGATGTATGGTTCTTGAGATAGCAGTGGAACAGTCGGACACACATACACACACACATACACACACACACACACACACACACACACACACACACACACACATACAGACACACTAACTGCAAAGACTCCCATTTTGTGCTTCGCACATGGGAGTCAAAAACTGACACAATGAAAACCAACAAAGTAGTCAATTTTGTCATTCGAGTTAGCAGTGCACACAAAGAGACACGGGCCCCAAAAAAGCAAAAATATATCTTACCAGCCACAATGTCTACTGTTACCAACTGTCACATATACCTCAGAAAAACTGAAGGAGAATGAATCACCCTGTTTTTCCTTGCGATGCACCTCAGTGCGGAGAAAAACAGAGAGCTAAGATTGGCTGAATCGCAGAATAATGCCTACAGTTCAAAATAGTCATTTTGACTGACCAGAGTCTATGGTGGGTAATTGAATGTGGTGAATTTAGTATTATACCGTGATTGGCTAGAATTAGTATTATAACTGTGACTGGCTAGAATTAGTATTATACCTGTGATTGACTAGAATGAGTATAATGAGGATTGGTTAGAATTAGTATTATACCTGTGATTGGCTAGAATTAGTATTACACCTGTGATTAAGCTAGAATTAGTATTATACCTGTGATTCGTTAGAATTAGTATTATACCTGTGATTGGTTAGAATTAGTATTATACCTGTGATTGGCTAGAATTAGTATTACACCTGTGATTAAGCTAGAATTAGTATTATACCTGTGATTGGTTAGAATTAGTATTATACCAGTGATTGGTCAGAATAAGTATTATACCTGTGATTAGCTAG